TTTGTACTATTTTCTTTAGAGAGATGTGGATAAAATGAAGGTTCCTGTGGCCAGTATTCTCATCTGGCCCTTGTTGACTAGCTCACCATACATGTGTGGGCAATATGTTGCTATTGACTCTATATAGAGAGCACTTCCCAATGCTCTGGGCAACACATTGGCATGGCTGCAAAGCTGCAGGAGAGCAGAGGCTGGAGTGGTGGCAGCACCAAGGACAGGAGCCCAGAGGATGGCTGTGCTGGCAAAGAGGCCTAGAGGCAGAGACAGGCTTACTGCATGCAGACTCGCTCTGAGTGAACAGGAATTTAGTGATTGACCTACCAACATGGAAATAAAGTTGGGTATAACCCTGTGGGGAAGTTGGGGTTCCTCTGACCAGGATCCTCACTGAACTTAAACCACCTGATGATGTAACTGACCTGTTGCTAGGCTACCACTTCCACACCTTTAGGCAATAAGCTATTATTGTGCTATATAGAGAGCTTGGCCCCACTGGGCGGAGGCAGAGACGCTAGTGCTCGACCTACCACCAGGAGAACAAGCCGGGTAATAAACCCTCTCATCACAAAGAACATTTTGCTGTCAATTTCTTTGGTCACATTGAATCCATAGCTAACTTGCCCAGGGGTGAAACCTATTGGCAAGACAACTGGCAAAGTCAGCAGGGTTCATTGTTGACCAAGGAAAAAGACAAGCTGCCTTTATGGAAGGGGTGCTTCAGCAGGCTGCCCCTGTGAATGGGGAAACAGTGGATCGTCCCCCAATGGGTATGTGGTCTGAGGTGGCTTGCCTCCTAGAGGACTGGGCCCCACCTCAGGATTGGAGGCAAGTGGAGGTGACACCTGAGGCAGTAGGGGTGGCCCTTGGTATAATAAGTAGATCCTTTGAGAAACAGAGTGCCAGTGAGGCAGTGGGAACTGTGGATTGGCTGCTTCTCACAGTACTAAAAAGGTCTACAGAAGAGACCCAAGAAATGGTGGGACGAGAATGCTAGCTGCAAACTTATGTGGATTCTGTGAAGAAGGAAATGGCATTGATGTGAGGAGAGGTGGCATGAGAACATGAGCTGCAAACTTCTGTGGATTCCCTGAATAAGGAAATGGCCTTGTCTTCCCAATGGGTTTCAGCCCTGGGCAAGTTCGCTATGTATTCAGTGTGATGAAAGAAATCGACAGCAAAACGTTCTTGGGGAGAAAGGGTTTATTAACCGGCTTGTTTCCCGGCAGTAGGTTGAGCAGTAGCATCTCTGCCTCCACCTAGATCACTGGGCGGAACTCTCTGTACAGCACAATAATAGCTTATTGCCTACAGGTGTGGAAGTGGCAGCCCAGCAACAGGCCAGTTACATCATCAGGTGGTTTAAGTTTGGTGAGGATCCTGGCCATAAGAACCCCAATTTCCCCACACTCCACCCCTCCAGGATTCTCACCTTACAATCTCCATGCTATCAATCTCCCACAATGGACCCTGTGCAAGAAATCTGGAGCACTGTAACCAGATTCCACAAGAGCAACAGAGGGTAACAACAATTTAGAGATAATAAAATTTAAGATACAGCAAGATTTTGATACAAAAGTTATAATAATCCTCAAGCCAGAGGAAGTTCACAATCCTCAAAGACTTTAGGGGTGATAAGTCACATGTTTTAATGTCACCAACATAGGCAAATCTTGTCCATCAGGTAGGATGCATGCAAGAGAGTGGTCCTGTGATAAGACTGTAGCAGGAAGGGGGTCCCTTCCAGGTCTAGTATACCATACCTTTACTCCTTTCTCCATGGGAGTTACTGAAGGGTCTATATATAGTGCTACTGCAGGTGCATGCACTGGCCATAATGACAAAACAAAACTCCCTGGTAAGATGCTCTTACATTCTGGCCACTCAGGATATACTACTGTGACCTTTGGCGGCCACTCTGCTGTTATTCCAGGAATACACAGGAGGCCAGCTTCCAGGCCTTGTCCCCAAGGTGCCAGGAGAGCCAGCCATCATTGGTCCATGTGTCAAAAGGTTGAAGGACACGTCCACTCAATGGAGTCTCCAGGGTTCAGTGCAGTTGGTGCTGTAGCAAGATGTTATTCTGGTGGCCAAACCTCGGCTTCAGTGATTCTTCCTTAGTTTGTACTTGCAGTTGTATAGGGAAGGCAGCCATATGTGTTAACATGTCTACAGGGCTCAGGGATCCCTTTCAGGGTCTCCCATTGAAACGCCATAGCATGGTCCATAAGCAGCCTGACCATCCCTGCAGATTATTGGTATCTGACTTTAGTCCGGATTTTAACAAGCCATGTGCCTCTCTATCATGCCTGCTGCAGTAGGATTGTACGGCACATGAAACTTCCACTTGATTCCCAGCTGTCAAAGACATTCTTGCAGTGTATGTCCAGTAAAATGGGTGCCCTGATCACTCTCAATCACCTGCGGTGGGCCACAGGCAGCAAAGAGACCCTCCAGGCCTCTTTTGGTCACCTGCTGGTCTGCACAACAGGTAGGAAAAGCGACCAGAAGTCCAGTAGCTGTGTCCACACAGGTCACCAGGTACCAATATCCTTCTGACACAGGTAGAGGCCCAATATAGTCTATCTGCCACCTGACGAGGGGTATAGTCCCCTTAGCTACTGTTCCATGTTGCTGTGGAACTCGGTGTAAGTCCCTTTTGGAGCACGCGACACACTCCTGCTGGGCTCTACTAACTTCGAATGTCAAAGGCAAGCCCCACTGACAGGCTACAGCCCACATTGTCTTTTGCCCCACATGCAACAAATGCTGATGTAGCCATTGGGCTACATCAGAGGCAGGCTTTCCTTCTAACCAACGTATCTGGGCCAATTTATCTGCCTCATCATTTCCTGGGGATGCCAGTGGCAAATGACCTGTCACATAGTATACTGTAATTATTTTAGTCTGACCACAGGCCCATAAGTCTTGCCATAATTCTTGCTCCCAAAGGGGTCCGTGACCAACCAGCCATCTGGCATGGTACCAGGTTGGTAGCCACAGGGTCAAGCCCTGACAGACAGCCCAGCTATCAGTCCAGACAACTATAGGGGAGGGCTCCTGGCTGATCACAAGCCACACGGCCTGCAACTCTGCCCATTGGCTGCTCTTCCCCTCATTGTCTTCCCCATATTGTCTCAGTCTTTGGATGGAAAACTATGGCCCTCCATTTTCGGGGCTGCCCATGGTTGGAGCCATCTGTGTACCATGCATCTTCGGGTATGGGGGATCTTCCCTCCCAATAAGGACTCTCTGATACTAATGGTTCAAAAGCAAGTTCTTCCTGCTTTTCACTAGTATATGTCACCAGCTCCAACAACCGTTGGAGTTCTTCACTCAAGGGGCTACTAGAGAGGGCACTACACCGCTGTAGGTAAGCACCCCACTTAGCTAGTGTGGGCCTCTGTGCCACACCACTCCTTGGCTTTTGGGTCCAGTCTCGTACTCACCCCAAGGTCAGATAGGTGATTATTACCTTTATCAAGGCCATTCCAGTGACAGGTTCTGTAGCCAGCAAGGCATGATACATAGCAGCCAGTTGTTTTTCTATCAAAGTGTATTATACCTCTGCTCCTTTCCAGAGTTATGACCAGAATCCAAAGGGTTGGTGTGTTTGTTCAAGCCGCTTCCAGAGACTCCAGCCATAACCATCTTCAGTGACATGAACATCCAGCTCATAGGGCCTTGATGGGTCTATCACATTCAAGGCTTGCATGGCCGTGACTGCCCATTTTGCTGTAGTAAAGGCTGATGCACATGTCTCATCCCAGTCCCACCTGATGCCCTTTTGTACCAACTGGTGTAAAGGCTTCAGAATTTTTGCCAAGTGTGGGATAAGCACTCTCCAGTAGCTTAGAAGACCCAGAAACTCCTTTAGCAATGCTACAGTTGTAGGGCTAGGAAAGTCCATCTACAACTGCTTCTGGTATGACTTTGGTCTTACCCAACCAGACGACCCCGAAGAATTTGACAGACAAAGCAGTGCTGAGGAGAGAGACTGGGTTGGCTGTGCCAGCAGAGAGGCCCATAGGACATCTGTGTGGGTAGAGTGGCCCAGGGGCAGAGACCAGCTTGCTGCATGCAGACTCACTCTGAGTGAATGGGGTTTTAGTGATTGACCTTCCACCATGGAAATAAAGTTGGGTATAACCCTTTCACCCCAAGGACGTTCTACTGTCATTTCTTTCATCACATTGAATCCATTGTGAACTTGCCCAGGCCTGAAACCCATTGGCAAGACAAGGGGTTAAACCCAACTTTATTTCCATGATGGCAGGTCAATCACTAAAGTCCTGTTCACTCAGAGCAAGTGTGCATGCAGCAAGCCGGTCTCTGCCTCTGGGCCTCTGTACTCGGTGCTGCCACAACTCTAGCCTCTGCTGTGCTCTCTTGCAGTCTTTCAGCCATGTCACCATGTCACCCACAGCACTGGGAAGGCCTCTCTCTATAGAGTTAATAGCAATGTATTGCCCACACGTGTGTAATAAACTAGCCATCCAGGGGCAGGTGAGAATCCTGGCCACAGGAACCTTCATTTCATCCACATATATAATATGTGGTCTTTTCGACTAGTTGGTAGTGGTGTCATCTCTCTCGTTCCTGATTTCTGTAATTTGATTCTTCACTTTTTTTATTCAGTTATTGTAGCTGAAAGTTTGTCAGTTCTTTTCAAAGAACTGACTTTGTTTCACTGGTTTTCTCTGTTGTTTTTCTATTCCATTTATTTCCTCTCCAATCTATTATTTCCTGACCTCTGCTTGCTTTGGGATTACTTTGTTCTTCTTTTTCTAGTTTCCTAAGGTAGAAGTTTAAGTTAATAATTTTAGATCTTTTTTAATAGGGCCCCTACCGTCAGTCCTCCACTTCTGTCTTCCTTTGATTTAATTATTATGGGTAACTGCCGTGGTGTTATTGATTGCTCAGATGGAGTTTTCTATTGCTCTAGTCTTGCTGCCTGATCAACGGAAAGGCGAATCTGCGTTCACAGGCTCGGCTTCCGGCTCATTCGGCCTGGGCTGGGCTGCGGAGCGATTGGGCCGCCTATGCATGACGTAGTACGCAGCCGGAAGATGGCGGACGCTGGGGCGGATTTGCGAGGTCACTTCAGGGTTGGCGTCCGCGCAGCCCTGGAGGCCTGGCCGGCTTTGCAGGTGAGTGGGGCTACCGCCGGGATAAAGGTCAGGTCCTAGGACAGAACAGGAGTTGGCCAGGCGAGGCGCCAAAGGCTCGGCTGTGCGGTATAAGTGGCGAACCCCTATGCCACTCAAGGCCAGATCCCAGGCTGACGTGGTGGGCTTGGGCCTGTGTTCGCAGATTGCTGTGGAGAATGGCTTCGGGGGCGTGCACAGCCAGGAGAAGGCCGAGTGGCTGGGGGATGCAGTAGAGGAGTACTTCTTCCGCAATGGTGAGTGAATGTGAGGCGTTTCAACCCTTGGGCGTGGGGAAAAAGAGGTCGGCCCTGGTAAGCCCGCACTTCTTGAGCAATTGTTGGTTGGTGTCTGAGGGTGAGATGGAATGAATGCAATGCAAGCTTTGGGGTCAGAATTTTGAGTTCTGATGCCTTACAGGCTGTGCCATTGGCTCTTGGTATCACTTTGGAGTCTTTTTACCTCCCCAAGACTCAGCTTACTAATTCCTAAAATGAGTATAAAAGTATATAAAAGCATTGTCCAGTAGCGATGTAGTAATGCCAGTCACATCATGTAGTTCAAAAATTTTCAGTTGCCACTTTGATAAAGAAGATGCAGTCAGTATGTTGTTCAACTCACTATATCCCAAATATTTCAACATATAATCAGTATTAAACATTTTAAATGAGGTACATTACATCCTTTTTAGTGTTAAGTTTTCGAAATTTGGTGGGTATTTTAGTTTTAGCACATCTCTGTTTGGCCTAGCCACATTTTAAGTGCTCGGTAGCCACGTTTGGCTTATTTGGACAGCAAAGGTCTACATCTTTGATGTGTCTTAAGGGTCATGTAAGAAAAAGGGGCCCTGCAGACGGCCTTTTGCATAGTATAATTTTGCAAAATTCTTCAGTTTTTTAGTCTTTGAAATTACATTAGACAGAGTCCTTTCTCTCGAGGAATTTTACCATCTACTGAGGGATCCAGATAAATAAATAGGCATTCACACACAAGGTGATTTTTAATAAAGAGATGCGCAGGATGCTTGTGTGGCATGAGACTGGGGAGGGGGGACTTCTTTTGGAGGTTAGGAGAGGTGGTGACTGGGCAGAATCTTAGGGTTGAGGAGGAATTAACTAGGTGGGGGAGGCAGAGAGAGCAACACTCAAATAAGTTCTGTGGTAGATTTGGAAAGTGGCAGGGAGCTCAGTATTGGAGTAAGGGTGTATGTGTACTTGCAGGTATGTGGAGGGGAGGACTGGTACAGAATGAAGCTGTGGGGGTGGGGAGGACCCTGGAAAAGGGTAAGACATGGAAGGCCTTACATGCCTTTGGTTTTGTCCTTTAGGCCAGCATTTGCCAAAATGCATGCTATGGAAGACTAGTTCTGTTAAATGTTCAGTGAAGAAAAAGCTTCTCCAGCCAAATTATGTAAGAAAAACTTTTTTTCAGTCTCTACTTAAGAGTCACAATAATCATTAACATAGTCAAGGCTTGGATAAGGATAAGAATCACTAAAAAGAAGCCTTTTTGCCTTTGTTTCCCATTAGCTTTCTATGGATAGCTTCCCTACAAACCCAGCAAGACAATTATTTCTTGAAGGCTACGAAACAGCGCAGTAGGTAATAAAAATTCATGGGCAGGTCCTAATGTGAGTAATAGGATGGGATTTGCTGGATGCAAAGTTCAGAAAGTAATCCATATGCAGCATGGATTGGAGAGGGAAACTTATGAGAAGACTTTCTGTCTAGAAAAGGGTGAGGCCTGAACTGAAGCAGTGGCAATAGTTATGGAAAAGAAGGGGTATATTAGGGCCTTGGAGATTGTTTGGCTATAGAGGGAGAGGGAAATGGAGGCAAGTTTCTGGTTTGAGTTGCTGGTGGATTAGGTGCCTTTCATGGAATAGAAGAACCCTGAAGTATGAGAAGTAGATTTGAAGGGGAAAGCTGATGAGTTTGGCTTTGGATATGGAGGGTCTGAGGCACCTGTGAAACAGGGTCAGAGACAGTTTTGGGGGATATTAGGTTAGAGTGGTAGGGAAATCCATGGGGGTGAATGAGCTCTCCCAAAGGGAAGGGAGTGAGGAGCTTTGTGGAAGACTTTGTTGAGTAATTCTCTAATTCAGAAAAAGCAGAGCATGAGCCCATATGGTAATTGAAGCCTAGAGAGGAAGAGTTAGTCACACAGTAGGATATTGATGTCAAGGCTATGACGATTTCATCATTGTACTTAACATCTTTTTCTTAATGTATCCACTGGTCAGTGGCCTCCTGTTATCAGTGGAGACACAGTTGGGGAGGGTCTTTAAATTTCAGCCCTTGGGTGATAGAAATCAACGTGGATTATGGGTATCCCCTGTGCTAGGCATTGTTTGGCTGGACGGACCTTCAAGGATGCCACTGTTAGCCCCACTTTGCAGATGAATAACCAACTTGCTCGGTCACATAGAGAGGGGGCTGGTTAAAATAGGCCAGATGAAGGATGGTGGACGTGTTTGAGATGCTGTGGCAATAGAGGGCTTGGTAGGATGCAGGAAATTGGAAATTGGGTATTTTTATATAGTGTGTGTTAGGTTTTTTAAAAATTATGTTAAAACTTGGAATGCAGAGAACTTAAGCAAATAAAAGGCTCACTCTTTGGACCTTTACCCACCAACCAGACATGGAGCCACTAAGTAGCTGTAGAAGAGTAGCAGGCAGGAGTGATTAAGTTGCCTGGTCTTTGACCAAAGGGTCCTGTCCTTTCCTACTCAGCTGACTTGGAGCTAGATGAGGTGGAGGACTTCCTCGGGGAGCTCATGACGAATGAGTTTGATACAGTTGTAGAGGATGGGAGTCTGCCCCAGGTGAGCATATTGTGGACACAACCGCCATCTCCCATCTTGCAGTCTTTCTTTTCCTGTGTCTGTTTTAGGCCATGACTCTAACCATTCTTGAGTCCTGCACAACTCTCTGACTTCCTGTGGCCTAAAGGAAAAAGTTCACTCTTCCCAGTCCTTCTCCAAACCCTGCCTCATCTCTTATTTCTCTCTGTATGTCATTCTTACTTGCTTATTCCATCTTATTTCCCTTCCATACATCATTCTCTTCCAGGTCTGTCCCTCACCCCCATTCCAAGGGCAGGTCAGCCAGGTACATTTCCTTCCCTCTGGTTTACATCACTTCCCCTGCTGGGGATTGCCTTCTCCTTTACATCCTCCACCTTTCAAAACCATTTCTAGTGCCTTCCCTGCTAGAAGGGCCTCTTTCGATGTTCAAGTCCTCACCTGAGCCCTTCACATGTGGTTCCTTCATAAGTGAATTCCTTGGGAAAGAACGAACCTCATTTCCTGGAAACTTCCAAACTCCTCTCTCCCTAATCTTGCAGCAAACATGGGCTGATTATGTTTTAGGTTCTCCAGATAATCCAAGCTTGTTAAATGTTTTCTTGATAGGTGAGCCAACAGCTCCAGACCATGTTCCATCACTTCCAGAGGGGTGATGGGGCAGCTTTGAAGGAGATGGTCTCGTGCATCACCCAGAGAAAGTGCAGGGTCAGAGCCACTGCACTTAAGACAGCCAGAGAGATGGATGAGACTGATGCCGACAGTGTGGAAGAGATGGAGGTGAGGGGGTGCCCCTTGGGTGGGGAGAGATGCAGATGTTTTCAGTTTTCTTCTGGGAGACCAGCTCGTTTCACAGGGAAGTAATGGGGACAGGGTGGTGGTAGTTGTATTACCTAGAGGGCAGGGAACTTTACTGAGGTCATACAACCAATCCTAGCAAAGCTGGGAGGAGAGCCTGGTTCTCCAGTGGCCAGCCGAGAGGTGTTACATTTAGCGCTCTCTTGTATTTCTCCTCCAGGTCACAGCTACGAATGATGGGGCAGTTACAGATGGGTTCTGTCCCCAGCCTGAATCCTCTGGTTCAGACTTCCAGACTATTAAAGAAGAGGATATAGTGGAGGATGGCTGGACCATTGTTCGCAGAAAGAAATGAGTGGAGCTGGAAACAGCTTGAGCTCTTGTTTGCTAGTTGTTTTGAGACTCATTTGTGGGGTTTTTTGGAGGGCTGTGGGCCTCTGAACTGGTTACCCTTCTACCCTCTCTCCAATCCCCTATCCAGCTCCCTCTAGGGGAGGAAGAGCACTAGGGTCTTTATCTTGGGGTTGTGGGACCTGGTTCACCAAACCCCCTTGGGCCTTAAGTTACTGTCTAAGTAATGAGGCCTGGTTTCCCAGTACAGTGCCTCTTCGGTGCAGTTAGTGTGAGGAGAGAAGATAAGTGGCTGGAGAATCTAAATGTTTGACAGTGAGCAGGTAGACTTGGGGAGGGAGAGAACCAACAGGAGAATCAATACTGCTGCATCACGGATGGTGAGATGAACATGCAAATGAGACAAATGAGTTGATACGAACAAAAGTAGCTGTAGTACCTCTCTCTCTCTTCTCCCCACACCCTATACACACAGTGCAGCTCTGAACCCCTGCCCAGAAATTGCAACCTCCCAGGAATGCTGCCATTCTGCAGCCCAGCCTCCAGCCCTGGGTTCCTTCAGGAAGTCTAAGACCTTGGTGAGCTTGGGGGACCAGTCTTTTGTTTTCTGTCTCCTCCAACCTCTTTTCCAGTCTCTACATCCTACCCCATCCATCTCCAGGGATGAGGCTTAAGACCTCAAATAATATCTTACTGTCTAATCTGTGCCTTGACCTGCCTTCTGAGAGCTGAGCTTCAGAGCTCAGCATGGGAGCAATTTCTGGGCCCATCCTAGCAGCCCAGTACTCTGGAGTGACAAACAGATGGACGAATAGAGCACAGCACTCTGAAAAGTTTCCATAAGCCCGAAATAAACTGTATTTTTCTTTAAAAAACAAAACAGAGAGTATCCATTGTCTTCCCCCGTTCCCCTGTCCTGCCCAGTGGCCCTGCCATGGGTCTGGACAATAAAATACTGGGTAGCCTTGGGACCAAGTAGAAGTTGTAAGCCATGGGAGAGGCAGGAGTGGTCTGGTCTCCACCCCACATAGCATCATACATGTAAAGACACTGGCTGAGGGGGCAAGGTTGGGCCAGGGCCACAGGGTCAGTGGCAGAGTTGGCACTTGAGTCCAGGTCTCCTGCCTCCAGTGTTTTAGAGGGAACGGGGTGGAGGCAGGATCTGTAGGGTGTTGAGGGGAGGGGAGAAAAATGGTCTAATTCAGACAGGCCTAGCAATAGCTTCCATGCTCCCTGGGGACAGGGATTTTAAAAAATTAACATCACTGTAGGAATTTTTTTTTAAAGCCCACATTTTGTGAAAAGGTGAATTAAAAAACCCAAGACCCAGCATTCGGGATTGAAAGTGCCCACGATGGGAATTCAAGTATTGACTGAGCTGGGAGGGAGGGGCTGGGGAGCCCCCAGTCAGACATGGGCAGCTAAGGTGTGAGGCCAGGGGACCCAGTTCCTCCCAAACCCTCTAGGTCTTGTCTTGGGGCTGGGGGGCTTCGGGGGGTTCAGCAGTGGCTCCTGAAGCTGCCACTGGTACCTCCTCCATCTCCCTGTCCTCAGACAGTGTGGGCCCTGGGCAGAACGTGTCCCCACGGCCTGCCCGACCGAGCACAGCCATCCAGCGCCGCTGTAGCTCCTCAGTCTCAGGGCTGAAGTACCAGCTTAGGTGGCTCTGGGTGATCTTGAAGACATGCCGTCTGTCAGGCCGCTCCCCTGCCTCAGGAGGCCCCACCTCAAAGCCAATGAGGGGCAGGCTGCGCTGGGCTTTTACATCCTAGGAAACCGACAGCTGGGGTTACCTTGGGGCTTCTCACTGGTTTTGCATCTGCTAAACCCCCTTTTTCGTCCCCAACTCAAGAACCTTCTATCACTCCACTGGCTCCAAGAGGAAAATGTCTGAACCTGGGCTAGAACACAGGCTGTTTCAAATACCTGTTTCCTCCCACACCCAAGACCAGCTGGGCTAGTCTCTAGCATATAGCAAATAATGTTTTCAGGCCTTTGTCTAGGCGGTTGCCCTCATCTGCATCTTCTCCACTAGCAGTGTACTATCTCCACTCCAGCTTCCTCCAAGAAGCTAGCCCCCAACTCACCCAACTTTCCCCTACATAACTTGGCCTACAATCACTCCTTGTCTGCAGCAGGTCTTTGTCTCTCACAAGGGCTGGGGTTTCTGATTTCCTCTTAGGTTCACCCTATCCCCCAAGGCTAAGGAGAGCTCAAGGACTGAGGGGGAAATGGGGCTGACTGGTTTTACCAGGTGGCTGAAAGGATCTGAAGGAGTAGGATGCATACCTGAGGGGCTCCATAGATGTACAGCACTAAGGGTTCATTCTCAGGGACCACAAACCATGCCTTGTGCCAGCCTTTCCCACCCTTCTCCATGTAGTGTAGGAAGCTGCAGATGACGCTGTTCTCTGCAGCCACTGAGGCTTGTTTCTGTGGCCAGAGACATGGGGAGCGTCAATGTTGATAGAAGGCCTACCTTGGCTCCTCTTGGCTTCAACACCCCCTCAGTGCAGGGATTGCTAATGCTGAAGCTCATGTGGCAGGAGTGATTTGCCCCAGTGACCCCCAGTGAGTCAGAGTCAAGATTCAAAGCCAGACTTGTCTGCTGCACTCTGGCCATGGCTGCTGCCTCCTAAGAGTTAGACAGAGGGGTGTACTGCTCCTCAGGCAGGGGCACCTAAATATCAGGCAAGCATTCTTTAATCAGTCCATTCAGGTACACCTTTTTTTCTGCCTCCTAAGAGTTAGGCAGAGGGGTGTACTGCTCCTCAGGCAGGGGCACCTAAATATCAGGCAAGCATTCTTTCTTTAATCAGTCCATTCAGGTACACCTTTTTTTCATGTTTAATCACACATCCATTCCCTACACTCAGCAAGAGGCAGCCAAACATTGTAGTTCAGGGGACTGGGTGGGTGGGTAAGGCAGTCTGGCTCAAATTCCCAGCTCTAGATGAAAATGTATTGAGACGAGGAAGGAGAGCATATAGGGTTGTAAGAATTAAATGAACTACTATATGCAAAGTGCTTAGAATAATGCCTGGCACAGGGTAAGCATTCTTTTAAGTGTTAAATACCTCAATTTGGTTCAAACCAAAAAGTGTGTGTTAGGTGCATGTGCCTAGAAAGATAGGAAGCATGTGCATAGTGGTCATCTAGTGGGTAGAAGGAATACAGTGTTTTAATTATGTTTGTTTATACTGTCCAACTTTCTTCAGGGCACATAACTTACTTTGTAATAAGGAAACATAATTTGTTAAATTTTTTAAAATCCCAGCTCTGCCACTCATTGGCTGTGTAACTTGGGCAAATAGCTTCCCTGAACCTCAGTTTCCTCATTTGTAAAATAGGGACAGTAATATCATGGACAGATTGGTTACAGTGAGGATTAAATGTCTAGGTAAAGCACTTAAATAAAAATAACTTGTGTTCATTCGCTCTTACACTCAGTGTACTCTCAGTCTGGTCACTTGTTCAGTGGGTGCCCAGGCCTCAGTCACACTGGGTGGGTGGCTGGGGCCCATGTGATCCATGTGAGAGTGTTAGTCAGGGGCCTGGCTCTTACCTCCAGGATGGATCTCCGGCGCTGGGGTGTATGCTGGCTGCAGGCTGGGCTGCTCCCAGGCACCCCATGCAAGGCCACATAGCAGTCAGTACACACACGGTTGGAGCGGTTGTTGTCATAGATGAGGCGGGCCCGGAACTCGGAGCACTTCCCACAAACCACCTGGGGTGGCAAGTGGGCAAGAGCAGCCTGATGAAAGCAGGCCTTCCCCTTCAGTGTACCAACTCCCACAGCAGACTCTCAGCCTCCCCCACCTTGGAGGGTACCCACTCAGAAGAGGGCCTTCAGGCTGCCAGTCAGTCTGCTCCCTAGCTCTGCCCCTGCTTCCCAACACTCACATGCCCACAGGCCTTGCAGTGGTGCCTGCGTTTGGTGATAGAATTGAAAGGCTCCTGGCAGCGCATACACATGGTGACTTCTTTTTCTCGGATGGGTGTAGGTGCCCGCTTCCCAAGATCCACGTTCTGGAGAGAGGGCCAGGTTCCAGGTCAGAGACAGCTACTCCCAGCCCAGTCCAGCCAGCCCTTGCCTCTGCGCCAAGACTTGGATCATCACTGGGAGGCAGCAGACACATTCAAAAGACCTGCCTTTGAGTCCTGGCTCTATCCCAACCTCACTGGACTATTGAAGGCAATTCACCTCAGTTTCCCCAGTGATTTCTCTGCATTCCTACCAACAGAAGACTGCAGAGGTCATGCACTGCCACTCTGGTCTTCACTTTCTGGAGTGGGGTGAGGAGCACCTCAAAGTGAGGTGGGAACTTGAAGGCTTGGGAGAGATTTCAGTGCAGGGAAAGGGGGTGGGGACTTACTGGAGAGTTAGGAGGAGTGTCTTCATCTTCTCTGTTTGTTGAGTTCAACAGTTTGAAGGTCTCCAGCGTCTGTTCATGCTTCAGGAGAGTGGAGTTGATGGCCTGGAGGTGTAAGAAATGAGACATCAGATCACCTAACAACCAACCCATTTCCATCTTTACCTCACCATACTGTGACCTAGACTGGAGGCAGAAAGGTTGGTTCTAGACCCAGCTCTGCCCCTTGATAGGCATATAACCTTGAGCATGTCCCTTCCCAAATCTAGGTCTCAGTTCTTATATTTGTGAAATAGGGGAGGGGGATCAGTGGCTGAAAAACCTCAGAAGGCCTTGCTGTCCACTGGGCTTTTGGTTTTATAGAGCTTAACTCACTGGGGTTACACCCTCAGAGGAGCCAGCTTTCTATAGGAAGAATTTCTGAGTTTCTGCTTAACATCTGGATCTAAGTTTGCTTATCTGTGAAATGCGGATAGTAAATTTGTTGCAAGGTAGGTGTCCAGGCCCATTCTGGTCAGATGTGAGTGTTAGGGGAGAGGCCACCCATCCTAAGAGACCTGTTAATAGTCCTCTAGTTCTCCTACCACAAAGCCTTCTTGGATTTTACCTGGACCCAGTCTTTCTTCTCTTCCTCAGTCCTTGGGGGAAAAAAAGAAAGATGTCAGGTTAGGCAGGCCAACCAAAAGCAATTGCAGTGGTAAAGAGCAGGTGTTTTGGAACCAGACAGTCCTGGGTTTGTTGAGCCTTTTTTTGCTCCTTCACTTATTACTTATGTGACCTTAGGCAAGTCATTTAGCCTGAGTTCTTTTTAATTCAATAGTTACTAATACCTTTCAGATCCTATGCTAGGAACTTGGGCCTCAGAGAGGACCCTACCCCTGAGGAGCTTATGGTCTAGTGGGAGAGACAGGGACAATACAGGGGAATCAGTGCTGTGACAGTGTGAAAATAGGGCTGAGGAGTCCAGAAGAGGAGACCTGCCCCAGCCTGCTAAGGAAGGTTTCCTCAAGGATGTGCTAGGCCTCAGGTAGAGGGCTAAGGGTGAGGTGTGTATAAAAGTAGGGAACAGGGAAGAAACCATAGATAGTTCCTTGTTGCTGAAATGTCAAGTTTGAGAAAGCAGAGCAGTTTATTTTTATGAACTTGTAAAATGGAGATGAAATTATCAGTCTGGGTTCTGAGCAGTAACTGAGGTAACAATCCTTGGTATGCTACGTGCTCGATCAGTGTGAGTTACCCCTTCCCTCTGCCTTCCTTCCCCAACTCTCCTGTCTGCCTTTGGTCTCCAAGGCCTCTGCCCTGGTGCAGCCCCATCAACTACTCACTAGGAAGAGGACCTGCCTTTTTGGCTGACTTCCACCTGGCTTCTTAATTTCCTTCCACATCCATACTCCAGACATCAAAAGTACTTTTCTATTATGAAAGTCTGACTACATCCTTAGAAAAATTAAGGATGTGAGTTAATATTTAGCTACAAGAATGTTCACTGAAATGCTGTTTACTGTAGTGAAAAATTAGAAGCAGCCTACGTGTCCAAAAACAGGCGATCAGCTAAGAAAAAGATGATGGTACATCACTATTGCCAGACAATATAAATGATGTAGAAAGCTGTTTATAATGCTAAGCAAAAACAACATATAAAAAGTACTCATAGCATTACATTTTTGTTTAAAAATATATGTGACATGAGTGTTTACATTTGTCAAAACTCATTGATGGTACACATAAACCTGTGTATTTCACTGTATGAAAATTTTTTCTCAAGGAAAGGAATGGACCTTAACAAATAGTGAACTCTAATGATATGCACTCCAAAGTATTTAGGGGTAAGGTGTAGTGATGTCTGCAATGTACTTTGAAATGCATTAAAAAAAATCAGATGGATTGGTGGATGGATAAAAGGATAGATTTGTGATAAAGTAAATACAGCACAATGTTAATACTTGAGAATCTATATGGTGGGTTTAAGGGTGTTCACTGTACAATTCTTTAAACTTTTCTGTATTTTAGAAAATTTTCATAATAAAGTATGGAGAGAAAACATTGTGTGTCTATGTGTGTTTGTATGCATAACACATACATACAGGTGAATACAGGAAAGGCCTGAAAGGAGTTCTGCCAACACATCTCTGAGTGGTACCATTTTAGGGGATTTTACTTTATTCTGATTTTATTCTTTATAAAAATTCTCTATCTATATTTTCTAATTTCTAACTTCTTTGCAATGAACAATATTGCTTTTGATTTTTAGGAGCCACAATAATGTTTTTGGCAATGCATGCTGAAGCATGTGGGGTGAAATGTCATGTCTGTAATTTATCTTAAAGTGGTTCAGCAAAAGATACATATGGCAAAATGTCAACAGTTGTTGACTCCCAAGTCAGTGGTTTTAAACCCTGGCACACACATTAACATCACCTGGGGAGCTTTTAAAATTCTCAGTGTTCTCACAGTATACCCCCAACAAATTAAATCAGAGTCTCCTGGGGTGGGTCCCAGACATAAGTATTTTTTTCAACGCTCCCCAGCAGATTCCAATATGTTGCCAAAGTTGAGAATCAGTTGTCTAAATGGTGGTCTTATGGGTGTTTGTTGTATTTCTACTTTTATGGACATCTGAAATTTTTCATTGAACAGTATTTTTAAAGGGCATATCAAGTGTTTGCAAAGCAAATCCTCCATGCCTTCCTGCTGCCACTAGGAGGAAACTCTACACTGTTTAGCACACCCTTCTGGGCCCAGCAGGCCTCGGCAGCACCCCCTTTCCATCCTCCCAGCTGAGGACGTGGCTTGTCACTCATGCTCTGCTGAGCCCCAGCTGGGCCCCATACCTTCCCTGGATGTGCTTTCTTGGCTTTCTTCTGGTTTCTGTGGCCTCTGGGATGCTCTCTGTCTCCTGGAACTTCAAACCCAACTCTTGTCTGTTGTCCTCCAGGAGGACACACACTAGCCCCTATTCATCCTTCCCTCCCACCTCCATGCAGTTCCTGACATGAGGGTTCTGACTCTCATTTCTCACTTCCTGAAGCCTTTGAGAAGCAGTTGAACTACCCAAATACATCTATTCTCTGGCCCTGACCATGACCTCAGTACCCTATCACCTGTGCCCTCAGAAGGCAGCATGAACTCCAGGTCCATCTCTGCTCCTTTCTAGCTCTGGAATCTTGGGCAAGGTACATAACTGTTCTGTGCCTCAGTTTTTTCATCTGTAAAATGGAGTTGATGGTAACAGTAGCTACTTCAAGGGTTGTTTTAAGGATTCAACTAGTCAATTTAGGCTTAACATTGTTAAAATTAAAATTGCCTGGCATAAGAGCAAGTCTTCGTTAAATGTGAGCCATTATTATAATCATCCAAGTAGAGGATAGATATGAAAGCCCCTTCATTAAATGGCTGGGCATTATTTTTAAATTTGGTATTTAAAATATTTTTATTATGAAAACTTTCAAGCATACAGAAAAGCAGACAAGATAGCACAGGTACATTAAATATATACCACTATACAGATGCAAAGTTTTTAAATGTTTAGCTATATTTACTTCATACATATATGCACATTTAAATATATGTTTATGTGTATGTAAGCATATGTATGTATATATATATGTATTGTTTGGTTGATAAATAATTTTAAAATGAATTACACATATTGTGATACTAAATCCTCACCACACACCACTAAAAAAACAAGGCCATTCTCCTATATAATCACTATACCATTATCACACCTGAGAAAGTTTATAATAATTCCCTAATAACCAATGCTCAGTTCACATTTAGATTTTCTCTATTGTCTTGCAACTGTCTTTTAGGGATGTTTTTCTCAAACCAAGCCCTTGTCATGGATCAAACATTGTTTTTGGTTATTTTTCTCTGAACTATATTGTTACTAATGTTTGGATTAACATCTCATTCTCTCTCTAACAAAACCTACTAAAAGAGCAAGCCTGCATCTTTGGGGAAAGGTGCCCACCCTTTCTCTAAAATAATCTCTTCCCTAGGGAGAGAATTGTGTGGGACTAGGCCTAGAATGCCTCAGCTTATCTGAAAGGAGGAGGGGGCTGGAGGGAAGGTATAGGCAAGGGCAAGTACCTGGCCTGGAGCTCAAGGGAGCGCTGCTTTCCTGACACCAGGAAGGTCCGAGGCAGATTGAAGTTGGAGCTTTCCTTTAACTGAATAGAGGGAGAAAGAGGCTTTGTAAGGCCTACTGAGCTCCACAGAGCCTTCTACCTCTGCACGCGCGCGCGTGTGCACACACACAGAGTTGGGGTCAAAGTCAGACCATCTTTTCCTCCCATTTTCCATGAAGGCCCCCTCCAAGTCCCCATTTCCCACCTTCTAGTGCTCACCTCCATGCCATCTACATCAATGCGCGCCCGCACACTAAACTTCTGGCCAAGGAGCCGCAGCCTGGGTACACAGTAAAGGAGGCGGTCGTTGAACTAGGAAGGAAAAGGTTTGGGATTTATGTGCAGAGCACCCAGGAAGGGTAAGGTCCACTTCCCTAGCCCTGTAGCACTCCTGAAACTTTATTGCTGGGGACTCAAGGCAATAGATGGAGACAATATAGCCCAGGTTGGGCACAAAGGTCACAGGGAAAGACCCTAGGTATGGAAGTCACTTCCTAGTTGGATGACCTTGGGCAAGTCACTTCTCCCTAAGTCTTGGTTATATCATCTGTAAAGGAAAAAGATCCTAATATAGGCATGAAAATACAATGAATTAATAGAAGAAAGAATGGCTAGCAGAGGTGTAGTCTTGAGTGAGTACCAAGTATATGTGTGTTTTTTTGTGGGAAGAGCCACCTGCAACCCCACACCTGGCACTTACTAGAATGAGGTATCGGTCTTGAGTGGTCCCATTCTTCGCTGACAGCTTAAGGATGTGGCCTTCTTTTATGAGCTCTTTGGTGGGGCTGACAATATCTTCCTCACCCCCTAGCAGTTCATATACCTTCAGCAGCTTGTGCATTCGCTCCTGGCAGGAGCAGTGAACAAAGGCAAGGTTGGTGGACTGGCCTCCCCCCAGATGTCCATAAGTCACAAGCCCCCACCCCCAGGGAAAAAGACACCACAGGTGGTTGGCTAAGGAAAAGCAGGGCTAGAAGGGCCACTCACCATTTTGCGGATGGCAGCGTTAGAGTGCTCTGCTGCTGTGGCTATCAGCTCCAGAGACTCTGTGGGCAGAATGGGCAGTGAGATGGGGCCTAGCAGAGAAGAGATTCTTGGGGGCTCCTTTGCTCCTGGAATATCTCCTCCTGTCCTGACCACAGAAAGCACCTCATTCCAGAAAGCACCAGCCTCAAAGGTATATATAGCAATGTCACTTAAAATCAGAAACTCTCACAATTAATGCCACACTGGCAGATTTGTAGTACATGGATTAGCTTGCAGTCAATAAAACGCAAGCTTAGCAAGATTATTATTACCATCAAAAATAACAACAATAATAATTACATATGCAACTGAAAGAAAATACCCACATTTAATAAGCTGTCTCTGCATGGTGGGATATGAGTGGGGTTTTTATTGTCTTCTTTATATTTTTCTATATTTTTGAGAATGAACATGTATTACTTTTATAATCAGAAAAAAGTCATATACAGAAATAGAGATGATCCTATTCTTTGTCTCAGTAATTCTGATTACAGGAATCTATATTAAGAAAACACACATCCTATATACAAGTACACTTTCATTGTAGTGTTTACAGCATTATCAAATTGGAAACAAAAATGTCCAACTGTCAGGGTTTAGTTAAAATAATGTGCATTCACAGAATGGAATATTAAACAGCCTTTACAAATGATGCTTATGTAGGGTTTTTCATAACCTTTGAAGTGCTCAGGATATTTTAAGAAAAGGATACAAATTTGTATATACTAAATGATCTCAATTTTGCAAATGTATGTGTATTAAAAATGCTAGGAAGAATATATGTCAAAATGTCATGTTTATCTCTGGGGGCTCATATCACAGGTGATTTTTTTTCCCTACCTCTTTCATCTTTGCTGTAATTTGCTCATTTTCTACAGTGACCAAGTATATTCAGGAAGAAACATTGAAATAAGTCCCTATATATCTCCACACACTAACAAATCCTGCCCACACTGGAAGCCAGCTGCAGCTGCACTGTAGTCCACTCATATTGCCCTCCACTCTTGTCCATACAGGGTGAGATTTTCCCACCCAGAAAACATGCCAGTGATGGAGGAGGACAGGAGCTTCTGAAGAGGGTCCATGTGGTTGGCAAACCAAGTCTTGTTTTCCTAGAAGGCTCTCCTTCCATGATCAGGTCTTGGTGCTCAAGATCTGTGGCCCCTGTTCCAGCTCAGGCCTTTCAGGTGCCAGTCCAATCTCCAACCACTTTTTCACCTTAGCTGCCAGAGGCAGTTTTCTTAAACCCAGCTTGCTGTCACTCCTCTGCTCAAATTTTTCAGTGGCTCCTCTATGCCTGCAGGGTGAAGGCCCAGCCCTTTAGCCTGGCATTCAAAGCCTTTGGTGATCTGGCTTCTGCTGACCTCTCCAGCTTTCTCCACTTGTACCTCCCTAAACATGTCCTGACTTGCTTCATCTGGCCATCTGCCACTCAGTCTTCTGGATTCAGCTCACCTCCTCCAATAAGCCTGCCTAAAGTTCCCAGACTGGGTTAGGACCCTGTCAGTGTTCCCACATTTATCTTTGATCCTCTGTGTCCCACTAGTTACACTATGTTCAACATGCTTTTACAAAATCTACCTCCCTCAGTAGTCTAGGAGCTTCCTAGGATGGGACCAAGTTCCCACTACCTTCTCCAGGGCTCCTCAACAGATGCTTTGCATAAATTAACTCCTTTCAATCCTCACACCAACACTATAAGATAGGTATGACTGTGCCCTGTTTGTCCAGTGAGGAAACTGAGACTTGGAGAAGAGGTGGCAGCCCTAGGTTTACTATCTGAGAGGTAGCAGAGTGGACATCAGAACTGGGGCTGCTCTCTCAGCTTCCCTTTCTCCTGCACATTCTGCATCTCCCCACCTCAGGTCAGGGGCCATGCTGGGTGGT